GAGGTACGTAATATGCAATGAATGCAACATGCTATGTAATAAAATGTATCTATTTAAATAACACTTTTTTGTACGATTTGGTTTTAAATTATTCTAGGTGGTTAAAACTAATAAAAATATCCACAACTATATTGGCGGGGACGATGACATTAGCATTTATTTAGAAAAAAATAAAATAGATAATGATGGTAAGATTTATTATACTAACTTACCCAAATACAAAACCAAAAATGCAATAGAATTATCAAGAACTTATTATTTTTTATATTTATTTTTAAAAACATTTTGTGTAATGTAAAAATGATTTTTTTGTAGGTGTTTGGGGTACTGATGTTGAAATTTTTGCTGCAGCTCAATTATTAAAAACATCAATTTATGTTTATGCAACAACAACAAATACATGGCAACTTTTTAATAAAAACCTTAATTTAAAAAAATATATTTATCATACAGAACGATGCATTTATATTAGAAACATAGGTAATGTACACTTTGATGTGGTTCTAGGTGTTGTATAATGTAAATATTTTTATTAAGTTATTAAGTGTACAAGTAAGCTAAAGTAAGCTAGTACCTATATTTAAAAATCAAATTTTAAGAAAAATTGCCAGAATCATTCGTTATTTTATTAATTTTATTTCATACCCTTATGTATTCTTCAATAATTAATAGGTTTAGATAATTATTTAATTTTAAAATTTTTGGTGTATCAAAGACGCTTTGTTTATTAATTCATACAAAATGAATACCTTACCTTAATAGGTGGACTTATGCATATAAAATAGTCTATGTACAAAAATATGTAGGTACATACATTTATTTATTTATCTACCTATATTCAGTATTCACTGATATAGTATATTATGTATTGCATATATTGGGCACGGACAAATCTGAAATCGGGGACATTTTCGTGAATAAAGGTATACTGTTTCAAGTGAGCAGTACACAGGATTACTCTCGGGATTACCAGTATTATTTTAAAATTTTAGTTTAAAAGTAATTATAAAATAGTATTATATATAAAAGAGACTACAATTATGTAGGTAGTAAAATTACCTCAGCTACGGTAAAATTTGTTAGGCAAGTAAAAATTAATTGTTACGCTACCCAATTTTTAACCCAGGTGATTTTTACCCACCACGGTAAAATTTGTTGGTGGGTAAAAATCGCCTGTTAGGTTAGGCGATGTTTACCTCAGGCGATTTTGACCTCCTACAGAATAAAATCTGTAGGTGGGTAAAAATCGACTGTTACGATAGGCGATTTTTACCTCAGGCTATTTTTACCCCCCTGTAAATTTTACTGGGGGGTAAAAATCGCCTGTTACAGAAAATTATGAAAATTTTACATTTTAATGTTTTTCATTTTATGTTTTGTTTATTTATTGTTTTTATAACATACACTTAAACTTTTTTTTATTAATTTGAAGGGATTTTTAAAACCATATAAAATTATTATATACTTTTTAGAATTACTTTATGCAAGTTTTAACAATTAGTAGTTTTGAAGGATTTTTATTATTTTAATTTTTTTTGTGTTGTAAACTAAACAAATTAATAAGATAACGATGGTTTTCTAGTTATTTTATTTATTATAATTATAATTAATTTAATATTATGTTAATGATTCGTTTTATTTTCCAAAAGTTAAAAATCTGTTTATTTTTTAACAGCCAATATTATACGTAAATAATTTTGTTTTTCATGTAAATTTTGTATTTATTACATTTTATTGTTTGTTTTTTTTTTAAATATTAAAATTAATTAGTGTGTCAATAAATTATTGATTACTTTTTAAAAAAATAACCTTGATAATATAGTATATATTCGTACACAAAATAATTTTTTTTATAATATTTAAATAACAATTTTACGGTGCACGGCGCGTGGAACCGGTGTCGACACGTAGTCGGCTCAGTTTTGGCGCGGAAACTTACTATATGCGCATCATAAATACACTGGCACTCAACGTGTTAAAAAGAAACTCGGTTTGCTGCTCAGAATACAATTTACTGACTTCAGTCTTAAAATATATTGGTTCGACTGCAATATACTCTACCCGAGCTGAATTAAGTAAATTAGTTATTAATGATAATAATACTGAACAGCATGAATCTGAAAACGATACTGAAGATTTAATTCTGTTTTAGTTTGTATTTATTTATTTGGAAAAAAAGAAAAGAATTTAAATAGTATGTCTTAATTAAATAATTAATATTAATTTAATATAAAAATATAAAATGTTGTTATCAAGCACAGATATCTATACTAACTCTGAACTATATAGAATATAGATATGTGTTATCATTAATATGTGTAACTAACCTATGTGTAATGTCTTTTTAAATCACAGATATATAAAACAACTAGATAGCCGACTCGATCTTAATATTGAAGCAAATCCGCCATATGCGAAGCTGGCAATGTTTACATTATACACCTTATCACTGAAAATCATATCATAATTCATAATAACCACAAACAATTCAAAATTTCATACGTTTTTTAGTTTTTACTCGTTTTTGTGAAACCGACATTTTCAGTACGCTTTAATTTGTAATGTTATGAGTTTTAAATATTTTTATAAACTTTAATACCTACTTTTTATATTTATTTAATTATGGTAGCATCGTGTTCTGCACATGGCTGTGTAAACAGACAAACTAAAGACACTAAAAATCATTTTTTCACGTAAGTACTTCTTATATTAAAATAAATTACGTTGTTCAAACTATTTATCACAGACAACTGCTCTTTTACAGATTTCCATTGCGAAATCCTGAGCGCAATGCTAAGTGGATAAAAGCTGTTGTACGAAAAGGCTTTACTCCAACAAAAAATTCAAGATTGTGTGATAAACATTTTTTGAAAACTGATTTTAAAACACCAGTTGGTGGTACATATAAATTGTTATTGTGTGATAATGCTGTACCATCAATATTCAACATGACTGTTATTCAAA